CAGGGTCAGGGCAGGTAGGAGAAACAACCAATTGATGTTTCTCTCTTTCCCTCTCCCTTACTCTCACTAAAAAACAACAAAAAACCCACACATATACAATAAAAAACATATTCTCGGGTGAAGGTTTAGAAAAAAAAACCAATGGGTGATATACAGGGGTAAACAAAAGTCGGTTTACAATTGTAATGCGAATAAACAGTACAACAATTAATAAATAATACAAGAATAAATTGTTTCACATACAACTATAAACTTACTTTTCCCCACCCCTGTATTTAAAGAGTAAGTCAATGTGGCTTGAATGGAGTGAACAAAGAGGGAGGATGATAATCAAAAGAGAAGGAGTGAGGAGGGCAGGCAGATCATGTAAGACCTTATAAGCTACTATAAGGACTGGCTTTTACTCTGACAGAAATGAGAATACAAAGATGAGACTTATCAAAAGTCATATACTAAGTGATGGAGATATTTTGGACTGTGATTTAGAAAAGTTATATACTAGTAGCTAATAAGTGGCAAAGCAGCTAGGATTTGAACCAATATTTCTAAACTCTCTACATCTGTGTTCTACTATTAGCCACTTATCAGCTCACAACCTGCCTCCCACGAAGTGTAAATTTAAATACTCTCAAAAAGCTAATTTTATACATACCGTATTTTTCGGACCATAAGACGCACCGGACCATAAGACGCACCAGTTTTTAGAGAAGGGAAATGAAGAAAAAAAGATTCTGAAACAAATAGTGTCCTAAAATATTTTATGTGCATTAAAACCCAACATCACAGTCATAAACACATGTAATCAACCCCGTAAAGTGAACAGCAGCATTTAGAACCATTTTAGAGCCGGGCAAGCACACAGAGACCACACAGAACCGGGCAAGTAAAAAAACTTTTTTTTTAAAGTATATGTGTAGGCTATATTTGGACCATAAGACGCAGGGACTTTTTCCCCCCACTTCTGGGGGGGAAAAAGTGTGTCTTATGGTCCGAAAAATACGGTACCTTCTAGGTAAGAGACCACAAGGTCTCCAGTTAATATTTCTACTCCCTTACAACCATAATGGGAATTTATTAATCCTAATATCTAACTTAAATCCTACTAACATTGCAGCCTATATTTATATTACAAATCCCACCTTCCACCCAAATGAGACAAAATTTAAAAAAAGCTTTGATCAGAAGCCTTAAAGCATGACTTTCAGGTTCAAATAACAGTAACCTGCAATTATTTTAAAAATGTATACTAGCCAGATGTGAAAAGCAACCAGAGAATGGCTCAGGAAGTATTGTCATTTCCCTTAATAGTTCACTGGTTAGTATTAATAACAATTATGTTGTCAAAGAAGCTTTTGCAATTACTAATGACTCTTTGAGATCCGGGATATGACCACTTCATACCTCAAAAGCAACAAAATATATGCTTATTCCTCTATTACTGTTAGTACTATCACCCAAAACTCTTGATAGTTTCTTGCCAGGTGATAGCAACTTAAGAAGGCAATAGCAAAAAAATAGAGGATTTTTGAGGGAGACACCATCTATAAGGTATATGAAACAGGTTAAGCCCTTAATGGCACTGGTTCAATCCTTTCCTACTGGATGAACTTCAAACTGCACAGGAATATTTCACATATCCATAAGATAGAAGGTAAAAGACGGAACATGAGGTGGGAGCATTTCAAATTAGATCTACTCTTCAGAGATTTTCATCATTAGTACACAAATGTAAGAGCTTCTCTGCTTTACGGAACTTAGAGCCACTGAAATCCCCAACCAGTGACCTACAGAAAAAGCATCAGAGGAATTACCAAGAATAAAACGAATAATATGGCTAACAGAAGCTCTCCCCTCCCCGCAAAAAGCCAGTCCTTTTCGACAGAAATTGAACTGCCTTATATGTTATTTTTTTTCTCAGCTTAGCCAATGCAGGCGAACTGCAACTTTGTGTGGCACTGTCTGATAGGTTGCTTTTTTTTTTCTTCTGAGCAAGAGGTGGACAGCTTTAGGCCAGGACTAGATTTATAGTCAATCTGGGTTCATATCTTTTTTTTTTTTTTTTCCTTTTTCTTTCCCTCCAAATGGCCTCAGAAAATGCCCGTCTATTGTGCCTTGATATGTACTGATTCAGGACTCTTTAAGTACTGCAAAGGATCTGGAAAAGAAAGTCCCTGGATCCGTTATAGTTCAAATCTCACAATGTCTATAGCATTTGTTTTAATCAACCAAAGCTGGTTTGGTTTTCCTCAATGAGCCAAACAAAATGAACATTCCGAGTTGAGTGCAGACGGGCTGCTTGTCAATATGACTCCCAATGGGTGGCTAATAAGGAATATACTCCCCAATCTAGAAACCAGGACAGCACAGATACTGTTCCTCTACACATGAACCTCCAGTTTGGTGGGTGTGCAAAGAAGAAAAAAATCAGTCAATTAAAACAAGAGGCCTGTTTCCATATATACTACTGCTTAAGGCAAGTATGAAGCTGATCCCAGAATATGACTAGGATACTATTACTGACACACTGACCCTTCTTCACACTGCTGTTCTCTAACCAAAACCCAACCTGTTAACCAGGTCCATCCCGAAGGAAAAAAAAAGGAGGGTTTGGGGATGGGGAACACAGGGACCGAATGGGGACATTTGCCTCCCAAAAGGGAGAGGACAATACACAGGTTTTTTAATACACTTTAAGACTATCAGATTCAGAACAAATTTCTCACATCTTCCTCCCCACCTCCCTGTGGCCTTATGCTAAACACAGCAAAAGAGTTTCTACTAGAACTTAAATGTGAAGGGCTGATCAGGGAACCTGGTTAACATTGTTCCTAGATTCGTGTTTGAATGCAGCCTCTATTCAGACCCTATTCCGACTGCCTCTAAACAGGAAGTTAACAGACATCACCCACAGTCAGGGGAAGCAAACCACAGTGTCATAAAACAAAGATGGATGCTGCTGTCAGCTACAAATCACTCTCACCTCATGGAAAGTGTTCTTAAATAAGGAATAGGCGGGACAAAAGTCCTTAAGCTTCACTTCTTCTCAAACTGGGTCACTCAGCCCACACACAGGCCCAGCCTTCTAATATCTGCTCATTAATACTTTTCTTCCTCAGTCTTTACCAAGATGACTATCACTGCCACTAGACTAAAAACTACATTTTTCTAAAAACAGAAGACAGTACTACCAGATCAGTACTCCATTAAATAACTCCTTATTCATACAACCTATCTGCTCAAGAAGCCCAAGAAAAAACTATCCTTAACTGAGCCCATCCCAAAACAGTCAGAGACTGGGATATCAGTCACCCAAAAAGCACAGCATCATTGCCAACAGGTGTGAGTCTTCCCTCACAATATATCAATCTCCTCAGTAGCACCTTCAGAAGTTGCCTCCCTCCCAATCAAGTACCAACAGAAATGCTACTTTAGCATTCTTATCATAAATGAATATGAATCCAAGTGGTTATCAGACTTTCAAGAGTCAGTGTATCAAAGAAAAAGAAAAACACACAACAAAGTTACCATTAAACTCCCAAGTGGGTTAATCTCAAACACATAGACAACATATGGACACCATGTTGCTGCCAGAAAACAATCAGAAGTTCATCTGCATTGAAAGGGGGACTGGAGAAACATTTCTTTGCATTTTTGTATCACATTTTGTAAAAATAAATTTTTAGAGAGAAACGTGTTTCCAAAACTCAAAAACATCAGCTCTTCTCCAACACACGTCTGCTGAACCTGCTTTTATTCCCGCTGCTGAAAAGTCCAAATCTCTGTTGCAGCCTGCTTTTTTGCTTTGCTAAAATGATCTCCCAGCTCCGTTTCACACAAAAGGGCTTCGAATAATTATTGATCAGAAATGAGAAAACTGCTCTTGCGAGGCTACCGGGTTCTCCAGATGACAGAAGCAGAAAAGGTTGGTAGTTAGTCACCCACCCACCCACCACAATGCCTCCATCTCTAACTCAGTGCCGGTCCTACGAGCCAACAGCTAGTGTGTCTGGGAGGAAGTTGATGCTGGGAAAGAGTGCAAAGAAGCTACCCGTACCTTTACGAGGGGAGAAAGGTCCCGGGCCAGCGAGTGGCACCCAAACCCTGGCACTCCCAGGAGCGGCCAGCTCCTCGGTGTAACTGAGAGCAGGGAAGCAAAAAGTACTCTAAGCCCCGGACTGGTTAGGGGAGGCTAAGTTCTCATTCCACACAGACCCTCAGGCAATGAGCTGGGATACGGATCCGGTGTGTCCCAGGAGCCCAGCTGAGGACAGGGGTGGCTTAGACGCTACAGAAGGTAAGTGTCCACCCAAACTGAGAGACAATTCCCTTTTCCTAAGGGGAGAGCCACGGGGGGACCGCGGACGACGACGACGAAATAAAGAAGGGGTCGGGTTCAGCGCTCCCGATTCCTTCACCTAAATAAAGATAATTACCTCGTGCTTCCTTTACCCTTCAGAATCCCCCCCATCTGTCCCAACCGCCACCAAACAGCAGACTGAAAGCAGGGAGCGGCCCCCGCACCCTGGGGGCACCGCTGGGGGGAGGGGGTGGAAAGTTAAAAGAGGGGGGCGCGTAGAGAGGAAAGAAGGGGAGCATGGCGGGCATGAGGCAGTGACTGAAAGCGGGGATGGCGGGGGAAACGGGGCGCGAGGGAGGGGAGAAAGAGTAAAAGGAGAAGGAATGAAGGGAGCCGAGGGCGCGCGAGGCCGAAGTGAAAGGCCGGGGCGCGCGCACAGAGCGGGGGGGAGGGGATGAGGTGAAGGGGGAGCGTGATGCGGGGGCGCGCGGTGCCGGGGTGGGGGGAGGGGGACGCCAGGCGGGGGCGCGCGGGCGGGCGTCGGCTCGCGGGCGCTTCCCCTCCCCCACCCCTCCACCTTTCCCTTCCCCCACCTCCGCCGCCGCCACCACCGCCTCCTCCCAGCCTCCCTCCCTCCCTTCCTCCCTCCTCACCGCCCCCGGGCGGGCGGGCGGCCAGGCTGGCCTAGGCCGGAGCTCCTCACCTGGCGGTGGCGGTGTAACTCCCAGCTAGCTCGCCTCTTCAGGCGGCGGCGGCGGCGTCGAAAAAGGAAGAGGCGACGGCACAGGGGGTCCCGTACCCTGCCGACGGGACGAAGGACGGAGGTGGGAGAGGGGGGCGGGCCGGACCGGGGCGGGCGGGCGGAGCAGACACTGCGGTACAGACGGGGGCAGCGGCGGCGGCGGCGGCTGCACCGGCGGCGGCGGCACCACACAAACAAGGACGCTGATTGGGCAGCTGCCAAGCGCCTCGGCCCCGCCTTACCCACACGCCACGACGCCCATTGGGCAGCCTAAGCCGGCCTCCCCGCCCTCTTCTTCTAGGCCCTACCAATAAGAGAGGGGATGCCGGGACTACACCCCACCCTTGAAGAGTGAGTGGCTGGCGAAGTGATGATTGGCGTACCTGAAACCCAATTCTAAACGGAGGAGGGGGATGGTCTAGCGGGGGCGCGTTAATGGGCACCTCGACCAGTCCCAGACACATCCGGGTCTTCAGCAGTCCATTAAGTGTCGGGGGTCAAAAAATCGCTTCAGGCTGCAACTTTACCTTGGAGACGTTTTGGTCCCCAGGCAGCCGCCGTACCCCAGTATCCCAAAACCGGGATTCCCCTTTGGCTAGATCTCATTCTTCAAATTCTAAAGATGGAAACTGGCGAACGGCGCTGGGCTCTGCGTTAGGTGGTGTTTCATCCCGAGAAAAATCCATGAAATTTCACGAAAGAAGTAGCTTTAGGCGCTTAGGCCTTGCTTTCCATTTGGGGCGTGGCCTGTCTCCGTCTGCCAAAGGCCTTGAACTTCCTAGTCTTCATCGTACCCCAGCATGGTCTTGTCGTGACTAAACCATGGCAGCAGGAAAAAAAAAAAAAAAAAAAAAAGCAACTAGCCAAATTGCTGAGAAATTAGGGTGTGCAGAGCCCTCCTAGCTCCTTCTCTCGGGATCTTGTCTGGTTAGGTTCACAGTGAAGGAAACAGCCTTCTTATCCCACTCCCTCTAATCAACTCAAGGCCCAACTCCTCTTGCTATTCCCAGGAGCTGTCAGACCCACCTAAACTTTAGCATTTCTTGAGCACCTCAGTGATAAGCAACAAGTATCAGAATGTGTTGATGGAATTATAATAGCTGACGTTTTGGGAAAGAGACTGAGCTATACATGTATTATCAAGAGCTTTATATGGGTTATCTTACTGCTCGCAACTGTGGAGTAATTATCCTCATTTTACAGGTGAGGAAAAAGGAGGTACAAAGTTAAAAATGCTAAGTGGCAGAGCTGAAATTTGAATACAGGTAGATTAAAAAAAAAAAAAACAGGCTCTGAGAGGTTAAGTTAACTTGCAAAGACCAAACAGCTAATTAGTGACCATGCAATGCTTTGAGCCCAGAAACAGCTGATTCCAGAAGCACTAGAACATGTTCTTCAAATCATTTAGAAGTAGTGCTCTGCACTGGAAATTAAACTAATGAAGGGTGTGGCCACACACTAAAGAAGAACCCTGAACACACACACACACACACACACACACACACACACACACACACACACAGAGGCATGCCCCGATTCTTATTTTAGGTGGGTAAGAAAAACCTTGTTTCATTCTAGTATAGTGTCCAGGTAAAGAACATGGTCTCTGGAACTGGTTTGACTCAGTGGCTAAAGCATCGGCCTGCAGGCTGAAATGACCCAGGTTCGAATCCGGTCAAGGGCATGTACCTTGGTTGCAGGCACATCCCCAGTAGGGGGTGTGCAGGAGGCAGCTGATAGATGTTTCTCTCTCATCGGTGCTTCTAACTCTCTATCCCTCTCCCTTCCTCTGTAAAAAGTCAATAAAATACATTTAAAAAAAAAAAAAAGGACAAAAAAGAACATGGTCTCTGGAGTTAGACTACCTGGGCTTGGATCTTTGTACCTCTTACCAGTTGTGTGATTTGGGAGCAAGTTAATTTATATTCTCTACTAGTGGCCCAGTACATGAAATTCTGCACATTAAAAGGGAATTAGAGGAAATATTTTAATATTGCTACCTGCCCTATAATACAAGTGTCAGAGATGAAAGAAAATTAGTAAAATGTATATGAAAATCTTCCTCCTGTCAGAGTCTGGAGCACACCACAGGACCCAGAGTCAAGTCCCCACCCACATGCATGCACCTTGAAATCACAGGAGACCCAGACTCAACAGGCCCCACCCCCATCAAGCCCCACAGGGCAGGGGGTGCAGCCTCAGGTCCCTGCCCCAGGGCAAGGGCACAAGAGTGTGACGACCATTTCCATTTTAGCTCTTTATTATATAGGACTAGAGGCCCAGTGCATGAAATCTGTGCACACAGGGGCAACCCTCAGCCCAGCCTGCACCCTCTCCAATCAGGGACCCTCAAGAGATAACTGGCAGTTGGACATCCCTCTTACAATCCAGGACCACTGATTCCTAACTGCTCACCTGCCTGCCAGCCTGGTTACCCCCAACTGCCTCCCCATCCTCCCTTCCCCCCGCCCCCGCTGGCCGGGTCACTCCACGTAGCCTGCTGTTCAGTCGTTTGGTCATCCCTCACTTAACCCCCCTGCCACCCTTGTTGCCTCACACAGCCCATGTTCGGTAGTCCATTCATTTGTTTTGGTCATGATGGCCCCTGGCTTTTTATATATCAGGATGCCTTAGTTTCCCTGTCTGTAAAAATGGGAATGACTGATAAGAGTACCGAGTTCATAGGGTAATTGCCCTCATGGAAGGTATAGTCCTCTTCCCTAACTCGCCTAAACCATGACCAGTCCAATGCATTCTCTGTATCTGAAGGGCCATTCTTCAAGGACTGTGAGGAGACATAAGAAATATATTAGTGGATACCAGCCCAAAGAAGATACTAGTGAGCCCTAAGAAAATGCCTTCTAACAAAATTAAAAATCAGGCCATGGAGGGGGGACTTTCAATCTGAATAATCAAGTTCCAAGGAAGACAAGTAAGTGAGGCCACTGTTGTAACGAACATGACCTTTGCCCTATGCAGTCTCTGTTCATTTTCTTTTTTGAAGCTAACATTTATTAATTTCATATGGACTACATAATTAATCTTTTTTTAAAATATATTTTATTGACTTTTTACAGAGAGGAAGGAAGAGGGATAGAGAGTTAGAAACATCGATGAGAGAGAAACATCAATCTGCTGCCTCTTGCACACCCCCTATTGGGGATGTGCCCACAACCAAAGTACATGCCCTTGACTGGAATTGAACCTGGGACCTTTCAGTCTGCAGGCCAATGCTCTATCCACTGAGCCAAATCGGTTTTGGCTACATAATTAATCTTTAAACAACCTCCTCAATTTGCAGATGAGGAAAAACTGAGGTATAGCAGTTAAGTAACTTATCAGATGTAATAAAATTAGTAAGTGGCAGAGATAAAAATTTAACTACAATTTTTCATACTCGAGCCTATAAATTTCAAAGTCTAGGATGATAACCCAGCCAGTTTGGCTGTGGATAGACAGAATGTGGCCTACGGACCAAAAGGTCTGGGGTTCGATTTTAGCCAAAATCACGTATCTTGGTAGCAGGCTTCTCCCTGGCCTGGCCCCTGGTTGGAGCTCGTGCCAGAGGCAACCAATGGATGTGTTTCTCTCACATCGGTGTTTCTCTCTGTCTTTCCCTCTATTTCCTACTCTCCCTAAAAGGCAATGGAAAAATATCTTCGGGTGAGGACTAACAGCAACAACAACAAAATAGTCTGGGAAGAGAAATTGGGCCAGGTTATATGTGCATGTCCTTCTCCTCACACAGTTCCTGAAGCCAAGGACAGAGAAGCTATCAGATGCCATGATGATTACTTTATTCCTGGAATTCTCAGATATTCTGTGGATAAAGAATTCTATAGTTCTGCACATCTGACTGTGGACCTCTAAAAGGAAGCCCCAAAATGAGAACCAGAAGCTGGAGGCAGGGTTGATTGGCATTATTGTTTGTGAACCAAGAGGCCCTCTAGACCAGTAAGGTTGTGCCGACTATTAAAGTAGGGACTGAGCCGAAACCGGTTTGGCTCAGTGGATAGAGCGTCGGTCTCGGACTGAAAGGTTCCAGGTTCGATTCCAGTCAAGGGCATGTACCTTGGTTGCGGGCACATCCCCAGTAGAGGGTGTACAGGAGGCAGCTGGTTGATGTTTCTCTCTCATTGACGTTTCTAGCTCTCTATCCCTCTCCTTTCCTCTTTGTGGAAAATCAATAAAATATATTTTAAAAAATAAAAAATAAAGTAGGGACTGAGCCCTAAAAATCTTCCCAGTGTCAGTTGGTGAAGCATATTACTAGGCACATTACACTCAACAGAAACTTGTAGTTTCAGGAAGGCAGTGGCTCCATTGCAGAAGGTCCCTGAGGATGATACAGGGAGAGGTTGATTTTGGAGAATGAGGTCTGATCAGAACCCGGGGTGACATGAAGGTCCCCTCTGAAGAAGGCATCTCCTCCTCCCTGGCAAAACAGATGCAGTTCCTAAGCCCCCACTTTCCTCCTGTGCTCAAGACAGGATGGTGAAGGGTCCCCTGGCGTGAAGGTCCCAGCATTCAGAAGTAGCACTTTTTATCCACTGATCTCACCCCGAGGAATGGAAAGGCTCCAGTAAATTATTTCCTCCACTGACACTCACACCCTCCTTCCCTAAGGCCTTTCTGTTTTGTTGGCTAATTCCCTCTGGCCTTTAGTTTTGCATCTGTTTGGAGTTGTTTCTGTATCTATTTCATTAGACAGGAAAGAAAGGGAGAACTCCAAGTAGGCCAAAGGGATTAGAAAGACGATGCCCGTCTCTCGGATGCCCACATGCAGTGAGCCCCTTGATCCCATCCCAATCTTCCTGGCACTGCCCCCAGACTGAGACCCTGGTTGGAACAGCACTCCCTCCAGCTGGAGCAACCAAGGAGGCCCAGGATAACTGCCAGGGCTCCCAAGATGGCATGAGGGCCACCAACACCAACTATTGGGGAGCACGCTGTCATCCCCGTGGAGGTGCTGGAGAAGCTGGGAGGGGACTGGCTGGGGAGAGAAGAAAGAAGGCAGAGACGAGCTCAGGGCCCCCAGAGAATGGAGTCTTTGTGTGGGCAGACAGATGAGGGACAAGGGGGCGATTGTGTGGGAGGGCCGGAAGTGCCACACAAACTGGCATCACCACAGTCAGCACCGGATTCACC